GTCACCACAACATGAGGAACTGTATTAAGGGGACGCGGCATTAGGAAGGTTGAGAACCGCTGTTCTAGAGTAATCTCCATGATTAAACTGAAGCTTAGAGAAGTTAACCAACTTGTCCAAGGTTTCATAGCTGATAAGTAGGAAAGAAAGCTAGGTTAGACTACATAGCTCATGCTCTTAGTCTTTTATAGCTCTATGGTTATTTTCATTCATTCATTCATTCATTCATTCATTCATTCAATAAGTATACTGAGGCCAATCATGTAGGGGTTGTAGGTTATATTAAGGATTTTTTGTTTTATTTTAAATGCGATAGGAAATTATGAAAAGATTTTAAGTAGGGAAAGGATCAGAGTGGGTTTATATTTTTAATCATTCTTGTTGCATTGTGGAGAGTTGAAGGTGACGGGAAGGGAGCAAGAATGGAAATGGAGAGACCAGTTTGGAGGCTGTTGCAATAGTGAGAGTGAATGGTGGCTTGGACTAGGATGGGATCAGTGGTTGGAGTGTGGTAGGAGTGACAGAATTTAAAAATATTTATAATTATAAAATACTTAGACACCAACCAATCAAAATGGATGCTGGCCTTAGGACTGGAGCAGAATCCTGGATGAGCCGTGCTATACCAGGCATTATCTCTTCAGCTGTGGATTGTGGAAGGGCAGGGGAGCTGGGAAGGGAAGGCTGGGCACTTGGGTATGTGAGGCAGTATCTACTTCATTGAAGCATCTCCATATTTTAAAAGTTGGAAAGGCTGTAGCCCCACAGACCTAATGAATGTGAGCCTAAGATTTGTTGATGGATTAGATGTGGGGTGTGATACATCAAAATTTTAGTTTTGGACATGTTAGGTTTGAGATGATCATTAGATACCCAAGTGGAAATGTCATGTAGGTAGTTGGACTTTGAGTCTGGAATTCAAGAGAGATTGTAGGGCTGGAGATATAAATTTGAGAGGGATCAGTGTATAATTCTACATTGTATGATTATAGAACAGCCTTTTACCCTCAAACATCTGTCTCTCAGCACCCTGTCGCTAATGCCCAAAGTTACAGCATTAGAAATTTATTCATGGTTTTGGATTATTAAACTGCACATAACCTGTGGAAAAGGCAGCATATTGAATTTTTATGAAAACCCACTGTAATGTGAATTAGTTTATTACACTCTTTTCAAGACAGCTGAGACTGCTTACCTTGAGGAGATTCCCATATTGATTGATAGAAGTTATGCAGGGAGAGTTATGCAGAGATATTGTGTAAGGGATTAGTTATGCAATGATAGATTTTTCAGGGACGTGTTCTTATAAAAAGGGAATCTTAGATGTAGATATCAACGTTAGATTTTTAATGGATGGCGAAGGCTTTGTGTATATAAAGTGTTCTTTATAGTTGTGTTTTTAGTTAATATTCAGTTTATGAATTTACATTTTAAATAATTTTAGTTATAGAATGCAGAAAGCTACAAATTGTATCATCTAATTTTCCTTAAAATGATGTCATATTCATAAATCTTTCATTCTATTTATACTTATTAATTTAGAGTAAAATAAAGACAATCTGTAGAGTTTAGCTATAGACTAATCCTTCTAATAAGTTCTAGAAGTTACATAAAATATGGGAGTAAAAAAAAGATAGGAAAAATTTTGACTGCTATTTTCTTCCGTGTAGAAAATTAGATATTTCAGATTACAGAGTAAAATTTGCAAAAGTTCTAGTATTCTGTTTTTTGTATGAAATAATATTTAGTTTAAATAAGCTAATTAAATGAATACATTTAGTTATTTGTATTAGTGTCCTATATCTGCTATAACAAATTACCACAAACACCATTTTGGAGGCTGTAAGTCTGAAATCACCGGGCCAAAGTCAAGGTGTTGTCAGGGCCACACTCCCTCTGGGGGCTCTGAGAAAAAATCTGCATCTTGACTTTTCCAGGTTCCAGAGCTACAGGCCCTACATTTCTTGACTCCTTTTCCCTTCCTCTGTCTTTAAAACTTCGAGCACAGCGTCTTGCTCTAGTGGTCACATTGCTGTCTTCTGTAGTTAGATCTCCCTCTCTACGGGTACTTGTGATTACGTGTAGACCCCGCTTGGATAACCCAGGATGAACTCTGCAGTTCAAGATCATTAATTTAATTATATCTGCAAAGCCCTTTTTGCCAGACAAGGTAGCATTCACAGGTTCCAGTGAATAGGACCTAGTTATCTTTGGGGACCATTATGCAGCCTTACACAAACTGCTCTGAAATATTTTGCTTTAGTGACGATTCCAAAAAGATATTACTGATTTAAGTATATCTCTGACTCTGTTAAGAATTTCACAGACACTTCTTCCCTATCAAACTCTTTGTCAAGTAATACCCTAGTGTTAATTGACTGTACCCAACTCTGTCTTTAGGTGGTAACTGTTTAAGTATTTGTTTAGAATGAGCTGCAAGAATAAGAATAGCAAAGAGTATTCAAATGTCCTTTACCCAGATTCACTGATTATTAACATTTTGCCCAATTTGCTTTATTGTTCCTGATTTACATGATCTAAAATAAATCTACATTTTCTTTTTAAGAAAACAAAAAAACATGGTTAGATATATTAGATATAATGTCTATGTGGCCTCATTTCTCTTCATTTAAATTAGAGGTTGGCAGTCTTTTCCGTAAAGGGCCATCTAGTAAATATTTTTTGGCTGTGCAGAGTTCTGTTGCCACTACTCAGCTCTGCTGTTGTGCTGTGACAGCGGCCATAGATGATATTTAAATAAGTGAGCATGCTGTGTTCCAATTAAATTGTATCTGCAAAAACAGGGAGTGGGCTGGAGTTTACTCATGGGCCATTCATTGTTGGCCAACCCAAGTTAAATGAGTTCTAAGTGAGTCAGAATTGTAGTTAAACATTTTTTAAATCCGTGTGTTCCTTTAATTTCTTTGATTACCAAGGAATAGTTCAGTCTTTCACTAAGAAATAATAAAGTTTTCTATTATCTGCTTTAAAAGAATGTGTCATTATCAAAGAGACAATTATACCTGAAAAATAGACTCATAAAATGTAAGTTTTGCAAAGGACTTTGAATATGAATGAATGCATGGGTGAGTGAACATAAACAAATAAAACTGGGTAGGCTAGTGCTTCTGAAATTAGGGTCTGTTTGGAAGTTTTAAAATGTTGTGATTCAATGATAATCTAAAACTTTTTGATATAACCAAATTTTAGATAAAATGATTGATCTTGTAATTGGGTAAAAATGCCCCTTGACTGCAGTGCCAGCTTTTGTGTTGACTATTGAATTGGGATCAAGTGGTATCCTTTATTATAGGCTAAAAAGAAAGTATTGAAGTGTACTGATGCTTATGTGACAAGTGAAGGTCAAATGATGATGTGGCAGATTGTGTGAATTAAAAAGGTTTATATAAAAGGTAGAGAAAAGAGCAGTGATGGGAAAATTATGTTGTCAAAATGTAAGTATCCTAAAGTTATATGAAAAAGGTGTTGTAAGAATTAATATAATTTTCACCCTGGGACCAATGATTTAGTTTGAGCAAAATAGCATCAACTATCATATTAAGTAAACATTAATTTTATTGGTTTTATCAGTTTGTTTATATATACATATAATATATAAATTTATGTTGGTTTTGTACTTATAAAAACTTTAAACAAAAGGAGTTTATGTCTAGTTTGTGTTCAAGCATACTTTAGTTTTATTAGAATTAAAAATCATTTAGGAGCCTCTTGAGTTCAGTGAAAATACATTTTCTTTAGGAGCATTCCTTCCATTACTTCAGTTTGGGAAACACTGATCTTGGCTATTCTACTACAGATGAGGAAAGCAAACTCATGAGCAACAGCGTGAATATGGATAGGAAAAGGCAGAGTTTTCACCTTACAGTATTTAGGTTATCCTGACTTAATATTTTTATTTTATTATGCATAATAGTTTTTTCTGTTTGGAGAAAATAAGCCCTTCCTACTGATGCCAATTTTGGTTGTTCTTAATAATAATAATGCTAAGAAAAAAATATAATTTTTATTTTTATATTTGTTTAGTAGTTTACAATTTATAAATGCTTTCATTTTCACTCTTTTAAAAAATTAAATATGTATAATAACTCTTAGGGAGTAGGTTGTTATTTCTATTTTATAGATGAAGGCTTGATGATGATGGGAGAGGTAAGCAGACTCGCCCAAAGTCACACTTCTAGTAAGTGACAGAACTGGGATTTCAGTCCATTGTTTTCTAGTCTAATATTTTAGTAGCCTAGCAAAGCAAATATGAAATTTCATATTACTTCAATGATTCTGTCAGATAGTTCAGTTTATTTGAACGTACCCAAGTCTGACTGAGGACATGATTTGCCCTCCCCCCCGCAGGCTTTACATTTCATGTTAGAATTTTCCTTGTAAGTTATAAGTTAGACGATTTACTATGTACATTTATTAATATGATGAGCACTGAATTCCTAATTCTCTTAATCCGTATATTGTTTCTGTAATCTAATTCTCTGTCTAATGCATTGTGTTGTTTAATTTTTTTTTTTTTAATAGGTCCGGATTGTTCTCTGAATGTTCCTTCCACTGAGTCTTACTGGATTCTGCCAAATGTTAAACCCTTCAGTCCTTCTGTAGGTCGGGCTTCCCATAAAGCAGTCTTACATGGGAAATTTATGTGGGTGATTGGTGGATATACTTTTAACTACAGTTCTTTTCAAATGGTCCTGAAGTAAGTTTTTCTTCTTTTTTAGATTTCACAATCTATTTTTTAAGATGGATTGTTTTTGTAACAAGACTATCCTAAATGTCTATTTTATTGCTTTCCATTTATGAATGTTTATTTTTTTTGTGATAGTATCTATTTGCTACATGGAAGTGATATGAGAATTTATGAATTCAATATATCCATAGTTAAATAGTTGTCATTGTGCTTATAGGATTGTTTTCTATAGCTGTTTCATTACTTCTCTAGAATGCTTTTAATAAATTCTTAGTAAGAAAATATTAAATTCAGGTAAGGTCAGGCCCGTCTGTATTAGACGTTATGAATCCTGCCACATTTTATTTCTTCAGAATGAAGTTTAATTGCTCATGTAAAAATACTTTCAATTTGTCCTGTAAATTAATTTACCTGAACTTTTTTTTACTTTGAATTAGCTTTACAAGCTTTTGTTGGTTTAACAGTGCCAGTATTTTAAAATAGATCATTCATTCACTGCTGTCTCAATAGAGATTGTTCTCTGCATGATTGGATGATAAGGGGAATCACATGGATGGCAGCTTTATCTGATTTCTTTTCAGCTAGTGATTGTATTTTATGAACATTCATTAACAGAATAAAAGAGGAAATGGAAGAATAATTTGGTTATCATTATTGTTTTCCGTGGTTTTATTCATAATATGTAATAACTGATGTAACCTGGGCATCAGCCAATCAGAGCTGACCCTGGACGCTATATCGTAATGGTGTGTCCTCAAAAGATTGCTGGATTTAGAAGATAAATACACAGGGCACCCAGTAAAACTTGAATTTCAGATAAACGATGAATAATTTTTTAGTGTAAGGAGGCCCTTGCAATATTCTTTTTTGATTTTGTCCCAAACAGTGCATGGGTTCTCCCTGTACTGATAAATTGTCATTTATCTGAAATTCGGATTTAACTGGCTCCCTGTGTTTTTCTGGCAACCCTACTCACCAAAAATATTAGTTTTATTAATTTTGGTTATTTAAAAATTCTACTGCTCATAAGAGGAGATCGCTTTAAAACTTTGATTGAATATGACTGGAATTATAGTATAAAATAAAATAAATTCTGGAAAGAGGGAGGAAGAGTTTTAGGTAAATATTTAAGTGAACAATTAGAATTCTGTAACGCATATATGAAGGATAAATTATGGTAGAAATCGTTGAAAGAGAGTTGGTGAGATTAAAATGAATTGCTAAGAAATGAAAGTACCTGAAGAAATGAGATTTAAATGTGAAAACAAAAAGGAAATTAACTATGCTTAATGAAAATGAAAAGCCTGTGAAAATAAGTAAAATGGTTTTTGCATTTTTAATGGGCTATATGAAAGAACAAAGAAGAAATGTGTAATACCAGTGTGGCCCACAAAATCTAAGATATTTACTATCTGGCCCTTTTACAGAAATCGTTTGGCAAGCCCTAGTTCATGGTAACTTGGTGGAAAGCAGTATGTTGGGTGCAGATACTGGTAGGTAGGCAGACGTAGTAGTGAGAGTCTGTGGAAGTTAGGTTCTGGTTGATTGTATTTCCTCAATTGTATCATGCACATGTATCTTATAACTCCAGTGTAGGAAATAAGTTAACCATGATGCTGCAAAGAGATTTTGGTTACCCTTCCTTTTTTTTTTTTTTTTTTTTTTGTGAAGGGAGCTTCTCTCCCTTTCCTAATGAGTTAGAGGAGGTAATAATTGATGGTGAGCTTCTGAAACAAGGTCCTAGTCAGTTGTTGACTGCGTGCTTCCTTTTGTATGTTTTGGCAAATTGAAGAGACTTGAGGGTAGAATATGATGCTGATAATTGAACTGGAATTCTGTTAGATAAACATTTGAGAGTCATCGTTTGGAACTTCTGTTTTCTTATGGTATTTTTAGACCATAGAACAAATACTAATTTTCATTTTTTTATCCTGTAATGTAATAGTACCTTAGTTTTACAGAAGTTTCTATCATAATAGATTCATTTTACACATTCTCGCAAACAAATGATTAGTAAACAAGGTGTATTTGTGCACAGGAAATACATACTTCTTGGTTAATTTATATCATGCTAAGTATGTGTAAAAGGATAAAAACGAGTATGTAAAGCAAATGGCTATTGTAAAAATGGAGAGAATTTCCATCTATTTCCAAAAGAAAAAGCTGCCTTTTTTTAAAATCTAAAAATGCAGAACAGCTTGCTATTGTTTAGGTTAAGCAATTGGTTGAAATTGTTAAAGCAATTGAACAAATTAATTCCAGTAATAAATAGCCTTGTCAAGTTAATGTATATTACACAATTAGGCTATTGTATCTAATTTAGAGCAGGTATGTCTTGAAAGTCTTTATTAAAAATATCTAACATGGTACATGAAATTATGAGTTTATTCTAATTGTTTTGAATTTAATGAATACTTGAATACAGATGAAGAAAGCATATGCAGATTTAAAAAAGCAAAAGTGAATCTTAGCTTATGAAGTTCTGTTTTTCTTGCTTTTAGTTACAATTTAGAAAACAGCATTTGGAATGTAGGAACTCTCTCAAGGGGACCTCTCCAGAGATACGGACATTCTCTTGCTTTATATCAGGTATGGATCTTGCTGTTTAAACTTTAATCATTTTTTTTGTTTACCTTAGAGAAAAACAATACTAAATCTCAGATTTATTTCAAACCCTTAATGAGAACAATAGATCATATGGATCACAGTAACTTGAGGTGTTATAGACTCATATACTATTTTAGTAAAAAAATAGATTTTTGTGCAATCTTCCGCGGAACACGAGAAGGAAGAAATAAAGATCGAGTTTTTGTACATGGCTTTATACCTAGTCATCAGGCCAATCACTTTTTATTTTTTTTCTAAATTGTGGTAAAATACACATTTTAACCGGTTTTAAGTTAGAGTTCACGGGCTTTAAGTATATTCAAATTGTTGTGCAACCATTACCACCATTGCCTCCAGACCTTTTTTTATCTTGCAGAACTGAAACTCTGTACCCGTTAAACAATAACTCCCTGTTCCCCCCTTCCCCAGACTCTGGTAACCATCCTTCTACTTTCTGTCTCTGAATTTGACCGCTCTGGGTACCTCATGTAAGTGGAATCATACAGTGTTTGCCCTTTAGTGACTGGCTTATTCATTCACTCAACATAATGTCTCCAAGGTTCATCATGTTGTAGCATGTGTCAGAATTTCTTTCCTTTTTAAGCCTGAATAATAATCCATTGAATGCATAGACCACATTTTGTTTATCCTTTTTATCCATCGATAGACACTTGGGTTGCTTTTACCTTTTTAGACTATCACGGATAATGCTTTTTTTTTTTTTTTTAATTAAAAAATTTTTTTTAAATTAGTGTCAGGTGTACAAAACAATGTAATAGTTAGACGTCTCACCCCTCACAAAGTGGTAAGCCTCCTCCCCAATCTGTTGCCCCTCTGACATTATATATATCTATTATAATTCCATTGACTTTATTCCCTATGCTGTACTCCATCCACATCCTGTGACTATGTCTATATATTAAATTATAGTTGACATACAATATTATTCAGCTTGAGCTTCAGGTGTACAGGGCAGTGGTCAGGCATAATGCTGCTATGCAAATGGGTGTACAGATATCTGCTCCTATCTACCCAGAAGAAGCTTTCAGTTCTTTTGGGTAGATAGCCAGAATTGCTGGATTATATGATAATTATATTTTTAATTTGTTGAGGAATTGCTGTATTGTTATCCACAGTGGCTGCACCATTTTACATTCCCACCAGTAGTGCATTTCTTCCATATCCTTGTCAACACTTGTTTTCTGGATTAAAAAAAAAAATAATAGCCATCCTAATGAGTGTGAAGCTGTGTTTTATTGTGGTTTTGATTTGTGTTTCCTTAATGATCAGTATTGTTGCACATCTTTTCAAGTGCTTCTTGGCTATTCGTCTGCCTTCTCTAGAGAAACGAATATTCAGGTCCTTAGCCCATTTTTAATAGAGTTGTTTGTTTTTGAGTTGTAATTCTTCTTTATATATTTTGGATATTAACTCCTAATTGGGTATATGATTTGCAGATATTTTCTCCCATTCCTTGGGCGTTTTACTCTGTCGATAGTGTCTTTTGATGTGCAAAACTTTTTAAGTTCGACATAGTTCAGTTTATCTTTTTTTTCTTTTATTAACCTGTTTGTTCCTTTGGTGTGACATCCATGAAATCATTGCCAAAACCGATGTCATGAAGCCTTTTCCCTATGTTTTCTTTTAAGAGTTTTAAAGTGTTAGTTCTTATGTTTAGGCCTTTAATTCATTTTGAGTTAGTTTTTGTTTATGGTGAACATTAAAGGTCCTGTTTCATTCTCTTACATGTGGATATTCAGTTTCCCCAGCATTATGTGTTGAAAAGACTGTTTCCCATTGAATGGTTTTGGCAGCCTTGTTGAAAATCATTTGACCATATATATGAGGGTTTATTTCTATGTCTGTGTTTATGCCAGTACCATACTGTTTTGATTACTGTAGTTTTGTAGTAAGTTTTGAAATGAAGTGTGAGATCTCTAACTCTGGCCTTACTTTTCAAGTTTATTTCGTGTATTCAGGGTCTCTTAAGATTCCTTATAGATTTTAGGATGGATTTTTCTATTTCTGCAAAAATGTTATTGGGATTTTGATAGGGATTGCATTATAATCAGCTATTTTTATGTATTTGAGAGATTCATGAATTTAGCATGATTAAAATGACAGGCTACATAACAGGTTTTTATTTTGAATCAAAGATTCATGTATTTTGTGGTCTGTGACTAGAACCTTCAAATCAGAATTTATGTATTTTCATAGCTTATTAAAGAAAAATTGGGAAATACAGGAGCAATGTAAACAATAAACTACCACTTTTTTATTGCATATGCATGTTTTAAAAATAGAAATCTCTATAGATGTAGTGTGTATGTGTCTTTTAGTTTTTTTTATTTCATTTTTTTGTAACAGCTTTATTGAGATATAATTGACATACCATATAATTCACTTATTAAAAGTGTACAATTGAACGCTTTTCAGTATACTCCGAGTTGTGCAACCATCTCTTGCAGATTTGTGCAAAATTGCTGAGTTGTGTTTTCAATTTTAGAACGTTTTCATCACCTCACAAAGAAACTCTGTATCCTTTAGCTGTCACCTGAAACCTCATCCTCCCAGCCTTAGGCAATCATGAACCTACTTTCTATCTCTATAGATTTGTCTATTCTGGACATTTTAAATAAATGAAATTATATACTATATGGCTTATGACTGGTGTTTTGTAACATCAGTACTTCCTTGTTATGGTAAAATAATATTCTATTGTATGGGTATACTACATTTTGTTTATCCTTTCATTAATTGGTGGACATTTGGGTGGTTTCCTTGTTTCAACCTTTCAGCTATTAGGAATAATACTGCTATGAACATTTATGTATAAGTTTTTGTGTGGGCATGTGCTTTCATTTCTCTTGGGTGTATATATGTGATTGGAATTGTAAGGTGGAATGGTAACTCTGTATTTAACTTTTTGAGGAATTGCCAGACTGTTTACCAAAGTGGCTGTACTATTTTATACGAGTATTCCCTTTTGCCATGTTTCTTTGGAGAAATGCCTGTTCAGGTCTTTTGCCCATTTTTAAATTGGGTTATTTGTCTTTTTATTATTGAGATGTAAGAGTTCTTTATATATTCTAGATACAAGTCCCTTATCAGATACATCACTTGCAAATATTTTCTTCCATTCTGTGCGCTTTCACTTTCTTTTTTGTTTCAGCTGTATTTGAATGAAATTTTTAAAAAAATTAGTTTCAGGTGTACAAAACAATGTTATAGTTAGACATTTATACCCTTCACAAAGTGATAATCCCCTTCCCCAATCTACACCCTTCTGATATTGTATATAGCTGTTACAATTCAACTGACTCTATTTTCTATGCTGTATTCCACATCCTGTGGACTATATATATAATTAATTATAGTTGACACTTCAGTGCTTTCACTTTCTTGATGGTGTCTGTTGAAGCACAAAAGTTTTTTAATTTTGATGAAATCCAATTCATCAGTTTTTTCTTTTGTTGTTTGTGATTATGGTGTCATATCTAAAAATCCACTGCCAAATCCAAGGTCATAAAGATATACTCCATGTTTGTTTTTTTAAAGAGTTTTATAGTTTTGGCTCTTACATTTAGGTCTTTGATACATTTTGGGTTAAGTTTTTGTATATGGTGTGCATTAAGGGTTCAAGTTAATTCTTTTGCATGTGACTACCCAGTTCTCTTGGCACCATTTGTTGAAGAGACGATTCTTTCCCCATTGAAAGGTCTTGGTAATCTTGTCAAATATTAATTGGCTATAGATGTATGGATTTATTTCTGTACTTTGGTTCTGTTGACTTATGTGTGTATCTTTAGGCCAGTCACACACTCTTTTGATTACTTTTGCTTTGTGGTAAGTTTTTTTTTTTTAATTAATTTTTATTTTTCAATTACATTTGACATTCTTTGTTTGGTTCTGTTGACTTATGTGTGTATCTTTAGGCCAGTCACACACTCTTTTGATTACTTTTGCTTTGTGGTAAGTTTTTTTTTTAATTAATTTTTATTTTTCAATTACATTTGACATTTAGTATTATGTTATATTAGTTTCAGGTGTACAGCATAGTTGTTAGGCATTTATATAATTTACAAAGTGATCCCCATGACTAGTCTAGTATCCACCTGGCACCGTACATAGTTATTTCAGTATTATTGACTGTATTACCGATGCTGTACTTCGTTTTGAAATCGAGAGTCCTCCAATTTCCTTTATTTTTTTTCAAAATTGTTTGGTTATTCTGGGTCCCTTTGGATTCCATATTCAGTTTTTGCCGATTTGCTCTGGCTAAAACCTCGAGTATGATGATGGAATGTAAGTGGCAAAAGTGGGCATCTTTGTTTTGTTCCTGACCTTAGTGGGAAAACATCTTTCATCATTAAGTATAATATTAGCCATGTGTTTTTCTTAGATGATATTTATTATGTTGAAGAAATTTCTTTCTATTCTTGGGTTGTTGAAATAGTAATGACTTACGTCATTTATATGTCATTCATTTCAGTCATATATGATTGAAGTTATTGCATAATTCATAAGTGCTATAAAGAATCTGCCCAAAGCCATGAAAAATCGTAATCAAAATGTACCCTATCCACAGAATACACAGATGTGGTCTACCTTTTTTGGTGAGCAATGCTTGATGAAAGCAGTAGATGATCAGGAATAGCACAAAGCGGTACACAGAGATGGTAAAATTCAAATGTAACAACTAGCATAATAAAAAATGTGGTTAATCGACTATGTAATATAATTGTTTTAAATAAAATACCTTAGTGTAACTTTTTGAAAGCATAGATTTTCCCCCTTCTTGTAAGTAAAAGCATTAAATTTTTATTACTCAGGTGTTCCCATTTGACTTTTTACAAATAAGAACTATGTTTTGTGCATGTTCTGAGCGATGACTGAAATTTAATATTTAAATTTAGTCTTTATCTTTAATTACTATATATTGCTAAGAAAGAACTAGTTTGTTTTTTAATACATGCTTTTTTAATTTATAGGAAAACATCTTTATGTATGGAGGCAGAATTGAAACAAATGATGGCAATGTTACAGATGAATTATGGGTTTTTAACATACATAGTCAGTCATGGAGTACGAAAACCCCTACGGTTCTTGGACATGGTCAGCAGTACGCTGTGGAGGGACATACAGCACATATTATGGAGTTGGACAGTAGAGATGTTGTCATGATCATAATATTTGGATATTCTGCAATATATGGCTATACAAGCAGCATACAGGAATACCACATCTGTGAGTTACTTTGAAAATGTAACTATATACTCTGTTCTTTATTAGTTGAAGATATTTTTATCTTTAAAAAAAAGTCTTCATATTAATTTAGTCATAATGGTTAGTTATTTGAAATCAGAATTATAAGCCAAGAATTAATAATTTTTAATATAAGCTTTTTGGTTTTGTGTTAGATTTTGTCCTTTAATATTTAAGTTTATCTTATTACCCAAATGTGGGGAAATGTTACCCAGTACTCGTATTTTCCAAAAATTGAGAATATTTTTAAATATGAGAAATTCCAATAGATGGTGCTGTTTCTTTGGATTTTACTTATGGACCAAGAGCTAAAACTCAGTCTGTTTACTATGCATTCCATGACTTCAGGATGTTTCATTTTTCAGGGTTCTGTTCCTAATCTTATTGCAATATCTCTATGTATGTATTAGTCTGTTGGCTTCTATAAGAGATGATTATCTGGTGTGTGAAAGTGACTGGGATAGTCTACATATGACTTTCTGAAATGTACGCTTTTATACTCTTTGTTTTTCTTGTACTTTATTTTTTTAAATTCTTTATGAAATTTTCAAATAGTTTATAAGGTTTTTAAAAATTTGTCTACAAGTATATGTGCTCTATAGTTTCTACTTAGATTGTGAAGTCAAGTTTTTGGCTTTTTTGTGTATGGCCAACTGTATATAACTATGCAGAGTCCTTGTGCAGTCTCAATGAGAAAACTCATTTGCAGATCACCATTGGCTGCTGGCAGCAAGTGAGGCTTGCATGCCCAGAGGAAGACTCCCTTTCTACTGCACTGTTTCCCATGCAGTCCTTTCAAGTGACCTGTTTTCTTTTCCGTGTTCCCAGTACAGCTGGGCTGGAAGCAGGATATGTATCCTTCGTACTTCTTACTGTCATTTCCACTTCTTCCGCCTTTGAATCACTCAGCTTTGAATCTGATGTCATCATACTGTACCACCTGTTACTTCTCCTTCTTGTCTTCTATTGCTTCTCAGATCACTGTACTTTATTCTTTGAAGGATGAAGCTTCTAGCTCACTGTTTCTCCACACCATATACATATTAGTCAAATGTTTGATGATGTCAGTATCCACTTAAACAATTCTTCTAATACCTGGTCTCTCAATTTTTTTATCTCTTTCCCAAAGATCTTGTTTTCCATCCTACTGGAGTCAATCTTTCCCATTGTCATGCCTGCAGTGAGTCCCGTCATTTCCATTTCAAGTGTCTTACCAGTTTACTCCTTCTGGTACCCAAACTGTGAGAACTCTTCAGCCTTACCGGAGCCTTTAGTTCGCTGAGCCTACTTTCAGTTTTTCACCATCTCTTATTCTCTCTTGTCCATGCTTTGAAAATTACTGAGCTTTAAACTCACTATCACTAATCTTTCTTCCAACTCTCCGTAATGACTATTTTGTACACATTTTTCTCCAAACTTACAATCCTTCATTTTCCATCAGAACTCTCAGCTGATGACCTTACTTAGTATTTTATTGAGAAAATAGGAGTAATCTAAGGAGAATTTCTGCTGATGGGAACCAAGTGTAACGGTTAATAAGCAATTCTGTATTGAGTAAACCTGCTTACATGCATTATTGTCATAACAGACTCGTGATAACAAGGAAGCCAGTGTGGCTGTCATTCTAATTGTCTAGATGGGCCCAAGAGTTGTTTAAGCAAGTTACACATTTTCTATGTAGAAAGGTTGTTTTACTTTTTGATTTTTCTATTAATTTTAGTTTTATTATAGTGTTCAAGGAATGATGTAGGTCCAAACGATGTCTCAGTTCTGGATTTTTTGTGTGTAGTTACCATCAGTTTATGCAAAAGAAAGTTTAATGTAACAGTAGTCCTTTTTCTTCCGAATGCATCTTTTCTCCATTTCCCTTTGCAAATTCAGACCTTTACCCCACCCCCTTTTATGTTTTTGTTGTCACAGATTATCCCTATTGATGCTGTGAGTTCAATTCTAAATTTCAGTAGCTAAGAGTCTTCTCTCTTTTTAATGTTTTTACCTCCTTTGATCTTTATGTTATACTTGTATTTAAGTGTATAATACCCTATTTTGAATAAAGGTTGCAGTTTCCTGATTCTGTCTGTTAGTAGTCTTACTCATAGTTTTGTATCATTTTGTCTTTTTTTTCAGGTAGAATAATTCCCTTCAGTATTTCCTTTAATACAGGTCTTGTATTGTCTCAGCCTCTACATGTCTGGAAAAGTCGTTATTTCTTCTTCATATCTAAAGGATAACTTTGTTGGATATATTATTCTTGGCTGGTAATTTCTCTCTTTCAATTGTTTGAATATCTGATTCTACTCTCTCCTAGCTTGTAGGGTTTCTGCTGAAAAAAATCTGATGATAATCTAATTGGGATTCCCTTTATAGGTTACTGTCTTTTTTCCCCTGGCTGCCTTGAGAATTCTTTCTTTGTCATTAATTTTTGACAGTTTTCATATAATGTACCTTGGAGAAAGCCTTTTCGGATTGAGATAATTAGGTATTCTGTTTGCTTTGTTGATTTGAGGATTCATCTCTTTCCGTAGGTTTGGGAGGTTCTCATCAATGCTTTCTCTCAGTTCCCTTCTC